GCCCCAACTCATAGAGGACAACGCGGATGGTCCCGCCTATGGCGGAGGCGCCCAACCCCGGCGGAAACGCCTGCTGAGGGGCCTCCTCCGCCGACAACACGCCCACCTCCAATTCGAGAGGGATCAGGGGCCGACCTAGAGGCATATATCCATGGAGTTGGGTGCGCAGAACTGCATGATGAGCGAGAGTTTCCCCAGGCAGCGCCTCTGGGACCACTGTGCGCTGCGCCCGCAGCGATGGTCTTAGACCAGTCGGTCATGATGACGGTTGCTAATGACGACCCAGGCGCCCGCCGCCGCGGGGGCGCGCTTTGCCGTGCTGAAGATGCGTGTCGCGTCTCCAGTATACCGCGCTACGATGATGATTCTGCTCTTGGCCGTAACTCCCATGGCCAACACATTGAACTATGCTTCGCAGCTGATATGGCCCAGGTGATGCTCGCAGGACGACAGCGCAAACTATTGCGCGACGTCAGCATCACCACTCTGCGGGCATGCGTCTCTGCAGCCGCTAAACGAGCGGTAGCAGTATAGGAAGATAACCTACTCACCAAAGCAGGATTTAGGCTCATCCAGTCCAGGTAGGCATGGCCGAGCTTAAGATGTGGCTCCGTAATCTGTGCAGTTGGATGGCCTCTCTCACTGGTGTCTAAGACGTCATGGCCTCGCGATGCGTCTACGCAATGAAATTCGTTCAAAACGACGAGGCGGAAATTTCCAAGACAATCCGTCATATACTTGTCCTCCGAGGACTCATGGACGTAGATGCCTTCGACGATGGAACCTTCTCAGGAACGGCTAGAGGGTCGAGCCAGCGCCTGCTGGCCAGCGAAGGGGCGTGCAATTCTGACGGGGCCATCGCGTCCATCGACGTGGACGAAGCTTTCCTGAAGAGGCTCGCATGCCGCGCGCTTGCTCCGGCTACCGGAGAGCGGGGACGCATGGTCTGCTTCGCCCTTCCACCAGGCTCTGCGTCTGCGCTCCGAACTGCGCCCGGGGTCGAGAAGAGCGACGAGAGCGAGCGCTGCAGTGCCTTGAACCAGGCGCAGGGGCGAAGGGCGCCCCGCGCGCCTCCTCCTTGAAGCCGCCCAACATCACGCGCAGCTTTGACCTGCGAGCTACGTCTCGCGACGAGGAGCTCGAAACATCGGGGACCTACTGACGGCCTAACACGTAGACGACATAAACATGACTGACAAGGAGGGGGCCATTGATCGCTGCGTGAATCTTTCGAGAACGCGTTCGGGGCATGTAGAAGCAAGAGACGCACCTACACCAACTGTGCCGTCAGATACACGAGCGACGAAAATTGTGATATAACGCTGTATCAGGACGAGTACACCAAACAGCTTCGCCCTGTTCAACGCCCGGGCCCGACGGGTGCCGGGGGCCGAGTGGAGGCCGCGATGCTTGTCGCTGGCATGTTCGCGAGCCTCCGTGAGGCACTGTTGCCCTCATGGCCCAAGTCTGGCTGATCGCATGCGTCGTTTCACTTCAACGAGTGCAAGATTCTGCCGACATACAGGTACAACGGCTGAGCGCAATTACGCGTGAGCTTGAAACGCGACCCCAGAAAATAGTTCACCTTGGCATGAAGCCCACCGGAGCACGCGATCTTCACAGCGACTCTGGCGACCGATGGTTGACCGGAGACGCTGAGGACGAGATGGGAAGGGCATGGCACCAGGGGTGCCAACCTACTCCGACGTGCAAACACGCGCAATGGCAAACCCGTCGCGCATCTGATAGGTGCCTAGTGCAAATCGCATCGGCTGCAGGCAAGGTCAAGCGAGTCTGCGGACACGTTAGCAGCGGCCACTAATTCAGAGGACTGCTACCTGACAGTCGCCACCCTGCGCGAACTTAAAGCGGGGCCGCTAACGCCAACAAAATTCAAGCATATACTAGAAATGGGCGGTGCATGCAGTAAGGTTACTCTTGCCGTTGACGCTGAGTCTGTGTTTAGGTCACCAGCCAGTAAGGACCTTGAACAACCAATTCAATGTACGCTTTCGGGTCGTATTCGCTGGTTTGGACAGATAATGGATAAGAGTATTTTACACGGCGTGCAATGGTATCACGCACGAGGTATGAGTGCCGACGAACCTGCCAAAGGCAGCTTGTGACGTTCTTTGTCTTTACAAGTAATGGCGGGTGCGCAGTCCTTCAAGCACGACCTGACGACGCACGAACTTGCGCGGCTCGAAACCTCGAAGGTTGAGCCCGGCTCCGTGGCGCGGCTTTTTCGTGGCGTCAGAGCCTGGGCGCCCCCCCCGCCACACACATTGGGTCCCGGGCCTCCCTTGGGGGGTGCCCTGGCCTGAACCCAAAGGGAACCCAGCTTTGGCGACGAGGCCACTCCAGGAAACACAAACATTGGGCGATTAAATCTATACATGCCCACTGTCTCCTGGCTGGGCCCTTCCTGGGCCCAGGAACTGTGCATACGCCCTCCTAGCCAAGCCAACAAATCTTGGCGTATACACCACTGCTTGGTTCAGGGTGGGCTTGGCCAGGGAGCATTGGAGATATGTATGTATGTATGCATGTATGTACATATGCACATGTTTTTCATATTTCGTCGCCCTATAGCAGAGTCCAGAAACGTCAAACACTTCGATTCTCGATCCACGCCCCCTCGGGGGTTAAGTCAAAACGCCGTTTTGGGCAATGCGGTGGACCGCTTTCGTTTTACGATACATACCTAGGACCAATTGCGATTTTGGATGTGTGCCCAAACTGCTCTTGGCGTCTCTCGGGCAGCTTTCCTTCGACACGAGGCGCAAAACGCTGTTCTGGCAGATTCCTGTCTCGACCCTCGATTAGAGAGGCCCCTGGAGGCCCATGAAGGTCCCCTCCCAACCTTCCAACGCCTCCAGCTCCACAGTTGGGTTGCACGTCAGATCAGCGGCTGCGGGTGGCACTTGCCAACGGCACCGCCGAATCGCAGCAGCCGCCGCTGAAGCGACGGCAGGCATGGCGCCAGGGACGCCGAAGACAACTATTGCGAAGGCCTGACGGCCGGTGCCGCCGACCCTGTTCGCAATGCGCAGCAAGAGGCACTGGCTGTGGGATGGTTTGGGGGAGCGGGGAGAAGGACGAGAAGGTGGGGGAGGGAGGTGTCGTATCTGACCCGGGACTTCCCCGGGACTCCCCCGGGACCCCCCCCGGGACCTCCTCTCCCCCCCCCGTCGGGGAAGGGAAAGGGAAGGGGCTTCCCTTCGACTCAATGACGACGTTGCTCAAGGTCGGTACGGGGGGGGGGCGTCGTATCTGACTCGGGGGGGGGTCGCTACCCCCCCCGCTACCCCCCCCCCCCTCCCGGCGGGGGAGGAATGAAAGGGAAGGGGCTTCCCTTCGACTCAATTACGAGGTTGCTCAAGGTCGGCTTGGCTGGAGCCCAGGGGAAGAGGAGTCCCAGGGGGGGGCGTCGTATCTGACCCGGGGGGGGGGTCGCTACCCCCCCCCCCTCCCGGCGGGGGAGGGATCAAAGGGAAGGGGCTTCCCTTCGACTCAATTACGAGGTTGCTCAAGGTCGGCTTGGCTGGAGCCCAGGGGAAGAGGAGTCCCAGGGGGGGGCGTCGTATCTGACCCGGGGGGGGGGTCGCTACCCCCCCCCCCCTCCCGGCGGGGGAGGGATCAAAGGGAAGGGGCTTCCCTTCGACTCAATTACGAGGTTGCTCAAGGTCGGCTTGGCTGGAGCCCAGGGGAAGAGGAGTCCCAGGGGGGGGCGTCGTATCTGACCCGGGGGGGGGGTCGCTACCCCCCCCCCCCTCCCGGCGGGGGAGGGATCAAAGGGAAGGGGCTTCCCTTCGACTCAATTACGAGGTTGCTCAAGGTCGGCTTGGCTGGAGCCCAGGGGAAGAGGAGTCCCAGGGGGGGGCGTCGTATCTGACCCGGGGGGGGGGTCGCTACCCCCCCCCCCCTCCCGGCGGGGGAGGGATCAAAGGGAAGGGGCTTCCCTTCGACTCAATTACGAGGTTGCTCAAGGTCGGCTTGGCTGGAGCCCAGGGGAAGAGGTCTCCCAGGGAAAGGGAAGGACAGAGACGACGAGTACAAAGAATGACGGAGATGACGGCTCGAACGGAAAAGCCCCTCACACACGCCGACAGGGTCGGCGGATTTGGACATCATCGGAACACCATCGATCGGGTGTTCCTAGAAGTGCCCCTGGTTCAAGGTGCCCCCAGGATTTCTAAGGAGGCCCCCACGGCCTCCAGAGCACCCGTTACGAGGCCCAGGGGGCTCAGGGGTTCCAAAATGGAGCGAAAGCTGGGGGCACCTTGGGCCAGGGGCGCCCTTAGGGTGCCCCCGAATCAAGGACAAGAAGGGGCATGCGGGGCTTCCATGCGTTGCCCCTTGACCCGCCCCCCTCCCCCAGATGGGATGGGGGGGACGACGACGACGACGACGACGACGACGACGACGACGACGACGACGACGACGACGACGACGACCACGACGACGACGACGACGACGACGACGACGACGACGACGACGACGACGACGACGACGACGACGACGACCACGACCACGACCACGACCACGACGACGACGACGAGGGCGGCGAGGACTGCGACGGCGACGACGACGACGACGACGAGGCGCCCTCAGAGCAGCCCGCCTCCCGGGACCGAGCGGCGGCTCCCCTCGCGGGCGCTCCAGCCCCCGCGGGCCCCTCTCGGCCCTTTGCCGCCGCCGCCGCCGCCGTCGCTGTCGCCGTCGTCGCCGTCGCCGTCGCCGTCGTCGTCGTTGTCGTCGCTGTCGTCGTCGTCGTCGTCGTCGTCGTCGTCGTCGTCGTCGTCAACGTCGTCTTCGTCGTCGTCTTCGTTGTCGTCGTCGCCGCCATCGTCGTCGTCGTCGTCGTCGTCGCCACCATCATCGTCGTCGCCGTCGCCGTCGCCGTCGCAGTCGCCATCATCGTCGTCGTCGTCGCCGTCGCCGTCGCCGTCGCCGTCGCCGTCGCCGTGGGTCGTCGTGGGCCGAGCCCCCCTCGGCAGGACGAGGAGCTGTACGCGTTCCCGTGCGCGGACGGCTCCGCCGCTGCCGCCGCCGTGCGCCGGGTGCGCGGCGGCCCGGGGGCCTGGACGAAGCCGGGCGGCCAGAGGCGGCCCGGGGCAGCGGCGCGCGCGGGGGGGCGACGCCGAGGCCTGGGCTTATGTCGGGCCTTTCCCCCATACAGGGGGATTTTCGACAAAAAATACCCCCAAAATAATCAAAACATACTCCAAAACTAGTCTGGGGACTGTTCTTTTAGTATTTTTTGACCTTTTTGGAATATTTTTAGGGTATTTTTATTTTTCGTCCAAAATCCCCCTGTAGGGGGACAGGCCCGACTTAGGCCTGGGCCTCGCAGCGGAGGATCGCCGATGCGTCTCGATGGTGCATCGGCGGTGCGGCTCGAAGCGGAGCCCGGTTGTTTCCTCGCCGACGGCCGACGCATCGCCGACGTCACCGAGGCATCGGCGATGCATCGGCGAGCGGCGCGTGCCTCCGACCCACTCTGCCCGGACACTACTTGGGAGTCCCCCGCGAGGGGGGCGCTTTTCAGAGGAAAAAGCGCAGTTGTGTGTGTTCGGCCGCGTGGAGTGGCGACGGGTCCTGTGTCCGTGCAGAAGGGGCGCATTCCGTCGCCAGATCTGGCGGCCTTGGCGTCATGTTGTGTGGGTACCTCCCTCGATCCGTGGATCTGGCGCCCACTTGCCGCATCCACGGATCCGTAATCCATTTCAGTGTGTGCCCGATTCTGATCCAGACCCCTCGCATCGTGAAGAAAACAGAGCGAGAGGCTTTCTGAGCTCCAGGGCCATCAAGAAAGGGCTCGGGGTGAACATTTTCCCTGGGAAGGTGTGGGCACCTCGTTGAAGGCTGCACGTTGTCAGCATAGTCACATCGTCGGGGGTCTGAGAAGCATGCATCGTCCTCGTAGAAGCCCTTGCTTTCTGACGAGACCCTCTGCCTTCTCAGAAGGCATCTCTCTTGCCCCCCCTCCCTTTGTGCGCGCCGCCAGCTGGGTCCCGGTGTGGCGCCCAGGAAGGCCGCCCAAGATGCGGCATGGATATTGAAGGTTTTTCATCACATTCGGCCCCCCCCCTGGTGCTTTTCTGGGCCGTGGAGATGTCAGGGGGGAGGACGTCAGGGGGGAGGACGTCAGGGAGGAAGACGTCAGGGGGGAAGAAGTCAGGGGGAAGACGTCAAGGGGGAGTCCCACGGGGAAAATGTCAGGGGGGAGGACGTCAGGGGGGAGGAAGTCAGGGGCGAAGACGTCGGGGGGGAAGACCTCAGATGGCTTGGCGTCAGAAGCCGATCAGGGGGGAAGCCCTGGGTTCGGGGCCCGTGTCTCTGAGAGCCTCCTTCCCTGTGTGGCAGACACTGGGAATGCTCTCCGAGATGCGTCAGGTGTAAGATCAATGAGTGATCTGGGAACAAGGTGTCGAGATTTGTTTGTTCTTGTTCTCCACTTGTGTTTTTGCTAGCCCTCCAGAGGAAGTTGGAGCCCTCTGGGGACCTCCAGGGGCGTCGGGTGCGTCCAGTTACCTGCGACGACGTCGCAGAGCCCTTCCCAGACCTCTTGGTGACTCGATCAAGTTGCGCAGGAGGCTTCTCGTCATCATTTTCTGAGCCTGGCGGCCGTTTCTGGGCCCCAGGACCGCCAACAAGACCATTCAGGATGAAAGACTGGTCCTGGGGTAGGGGTTCGAGGTCACCGTAGGCTGGTGACTTGCCCGCGGGGGCGCAGAGCTGGTCGTGATTCGCGTTGCGCAGTCTGGGCTTCGGGATCAAACCAGGATCTTGTCAGAGTTCGGGTCGGTCGAGTCCCTTCAGGTGATGCCTGGGATGCCCGATCACTGACGTGACTCATTGTAGCCTTAAGAGGGCAGTTCCATGGCTGGGTAGTCATCGCAGTGGTCGGGCGGCTCCGGTGGCCCTCAAGCATTTCCCTTGGAGTCCTGTGCTGACCTCATTTCTTTTTTACTAAAGTTCTGTTCTCTCCTCCCAGGCGGTACGGCGCGAGAGCGTGGGAGATAGTCGCGCGTCGTACCGCGTGAAGCGCCGAGGTAGGTGATCTTAGGAGCCGCCTCGGCGGCGCGGCAGCGCGGGGCGCCGCCATTGAAAGGTTTGAAGCCTCCGATGGCATTCCCAGGGTTCCGACGCTTCGGTTTTCTCCACGCGCGGTCTCTTGTGGGGCTCTCAGCCCCGTCTTGGGCGACATTATGGTCTTCCCATGCCGTTCTTTGATGGTCTTGGAGTCCGAGAGAACGCCCGGACCCCCGGAATTACGGAACCGCTCTGCGTCTTGATTTTGTGAAACGTCGGAGGTCTTGGATCAGAAACGTCTCGATTTTTTGTTTTAGCTTGGGACCCTCGAAATCGGAGATGAAGCGCTCAAGATGGAGCCGCTCACCACCACGTGATGGTAGAAGCTGGATATGTGGTGGATGAGAGGGGTGAGGAGGGGGAGGATAAGGGATCATCACAGAGGAGAAGGAGAATAGGAGCTGGAGGAAGACGATGTGGGAGGGCGAGTCAGGAGGGAGGAAAAGCAAGGGAGGAGAAGGGAGGGTGGCGGCGGGAGAATGGAGGGCGGGAGAGTGGACGAGGGAGGAAGGATGAAGGCGAGGGAGGGGGGGGGAAGGGCCAGAGGGGGTGGGGGGGCACGGCGAGATGGCGGGGGGGGGCACGGTGAGAGAGGGGGGGGGGGCGAAGCGCCCGTGGCTCCCTGGGGCCCGTCTCTGGCCGCCCGCGGGCGGGTCTCGATCACGAGGCCTTGTCCCGGATCCTGGACGCACGTCGCGGTAAACATCGTGCCGTGAGCCGCGGGAAAAGAAACAGCGCCTGGGCAGCCGGCAGCGGCGGCGGCGGCGGCTTCCCCCAGGGAGAGCAGAGGGGGCGGGTGGGCCTTCTCCGGAGGCAGCAGGTCTGAGACGGCCCGCCCCCTGCCACTGCCCGCCCGGGCGCGCCGCCGAGGATGGGGAGCGGACGATCCCACAGCGGAGCGAACAGGCACCCGTACCGCTAGCCTTCCCTCGTTTTCCCCGTTTGGGGCCTCCCAGGAGGCCCTCGTCGCCGCCGCTGGGTTCGCCTCGGGATCCTGGTCGGGACGCACCCCGGGAGAGGTCCGGAGCGCAGCGGTGTGGGTACCCTTTGGTTTCCCTGGTCACTTCCCCCCTCAGCGCGCCGCCGAGATGAGGAGCGAGTCTGCGAAGGTTTCCAGTGATTTCGAATGCCGTCTGTGGTGCTGGGAGGTTTTCTGCCCTCTGTGGGCGGGGACTTCCTGGGGACTTCTAGTGGCCTCGGGAGACCCCGACGCCGAGAGAGCGATCTCTCTTTCCCGGGACTCAGCCGACCACGCGGAGGTCATGGGCGGTGCCCCGCCCCGCGTCCCAGGTCGCCTCCGCTCCCGTCGGTTGGCATGCCCCTTTCCAGCGTGGGGAGAGGGTCGTGCCGCCGACGGGGTGGTAGGCGCGCCCTCGGCGGAGGAGGCCACGATGGCTGCTCCTGGCGCAGGTGCGCCCGTCTCGGCGGGAGCGCGCGCTCCCGAAGCGCGCTCGGTGGGCTCGGTGCTCGCAGCAGTCCCCGCTGCAGCCCCTGCGCCAGCCGCGCAGGCGATTCCGCGATTCCCCTGTCGGCTCCCTCGGTTGGCATGGGCTGCTCCAGTGCTGCTGTTGCGCCCCCGCAGGGAGCGGCACGTGCCGCTGAGGCGGTGCCGAGGGAGTGTGCGGCCCGCAGCCGGGGACCCTCGCCATGACGAGCGTGGCTCCAGTTCGCACGGGCGCGCTCCCGCTGCCTCCTGCTGGGCGCCGCCGAGAGCGCAGCCGAGGCGGCGTTCCCCTTCCGCCTGCGGAGGCTCCGGCGCCCCCCTCCGCGCACGCCCCTGCAGCGCCGTCGCTGGCAGCCTGTGCCTTCGGGGCTCGCAGCCAGGGGGGCTCCGAGGACCAGGCGGTCTCGGCGGCCGCCGCGGGGCCTGCCGCCCTCGGGGGCGCCATCCCGTGGCGGGAGCCTGTCGGCGGTGGTGACTTCCCTTCCGAGGTGGAGGCCTCGGCGCGCCTGCCCTGCGCTCTTCTGCGAGCGATGGTGGGCTTGTGCCTTTCGTGGACCTGGCCCCTCACGTCAGCCCTGCTGCTCGTGGGTTTCCCGATGTTCCTGAGGCCAAGGGAGTTACTGTCCGCGCGCCGCTGCGACTTGTCGCTGCCGACCGACCACCTGGGCCTGGACGTGTTCGGCGTTGCCACCGTCTCCATTGCCGTGCCTGGAGCGCGTCGCCCCCCTCCGGCCCTGCACACGCACGGCTCAGACAGATCGTCGGTTCAGATTTGGCGGTTTTTTGAGTCCAACCGATCCGCTTGCCCCGTTTGGTCATCGTAGCTTCCGTACTCGTTGGAACCACTTGCTGAAGGCCTTGGGCGTGCTCGGCGCCCAGCGGTCTGCCGGCGGTGCCTTGACACCCGCCTGCTCTCGAGGCTCGGGTGCCGCCCCCTTTCATCGTCCCCAGTGCTCTCCCCGAGGCAGCGCGTGCCCAGATAGCGCTGCTGCCAACGAGCGCCTGGCCGCTACTTACTTGGAAGCGACCCCCTTCCAGTGGTCCATCCGTTTTTGCTGCCACCCACCAAGGCCTTGTCACTTCGCAGGGTCTGTGAGCCTGAGATCGGCCAGTTCGCCTGAGCGGTGCCGCTCGGCTCGCGCGCGCGTCGGCCCCTGGCGTTCGCGGGGCTGCCGTGAGCGCGCCGCGCGCCCGCACGGAGACCGCTCTTTCGCGCGTGATCGGGATAATGCTGATGATGGTGATGCTGATGCTGCTGCTGCTGCTGCTGCTGCTGCTGATGATGATAATGATGATGATGATGATGATGAGGATGATGATCATGATGATGAGGAGGATGATGGTGATACTGGTGATGATGATGATGATGATGATGATGATGATGATGATGATGATGATGATGATGATGATGATGATGATGATGATGATGATGATGATGATAATGATGATGATGATGATGATGATGATGATGGTGATGCTGTTGATGCTGGTGGTACTGATGATGATAATGCCAATGATGATGATACTGATGATGATGATGATGCTGCTGCGGCTGCTGATAAGTATTGTTCTGATTTTGAGGATGACGATGCTGCTGCCGATGATGATGGTGATGGTGGTGTTGCTGACGGTGATGATCATTGTGCTACTGATGGTGGTGCTGATTGTGGCGGTGATGCCATGGATGAAGATACGAGGAAGATGATGCTGATGATGGCGGTGGTGGTGATGATGGCGGTGTTTATTACGATGATGATAGTGGTGATGATGATGATGATGATGACGATGACGAGGATGATGATGAGTAGTATACTGGTGATATCGTTGATGCTGATGACGATGCTGATGAGTATCATGCTGTTGTTGGTGGTGTCCAGCGCGATCTGAAGCCAGATCGTGTCGGTCGTTCGCCACCAGGAGTGGTGCGATTTTGCCTCCGTCTGGCGCATTAGCACTCCGGTCCTGAGTCGGCTGCTGAGACACGACGGCCGCATGGCGGCACATACGCACACATACTCGAACACAGCGCATCAGGCCAGCGTGCCGCCGACGATCTGGGAGGTCTGCCGCAGCCTCTATCGAACACCGCCCGTGTGCCGCTGCTGCAGTCAGCTGCCATGGGTCGAGAGACCCAGTCGCTGCGGCTGTCCTTCCAGCCTTGGATCGCGATCTATAGCTAAAATTTTCGTTCCGTCTGGACGTCGCCGACGCATTGTTTGTGCATTGGCGACGCGGTGCCAAATCTTTGGGCGCCCGGTTTTACGGGCCCCGCTCAGGGGGCCTTCATTGAGGCGGGCGTTGACTTTTGGTGGAGGGGCCGTCCCACGTGAATGACGATCATCATGAGCACCACACGATCGACGACGACGACGGTGGCGATGGCCACGGTGACGACAATTGAGGCGGCGACAAAGACGACGAGGGCGATGGCGGCGACGACGACGACGACGACGACGACGACAACGACGGGGCAGGTCGCTGTCAGGGCCGCCGCTGGCCATCGAGGGTCGCCGAAGGCCGCCGAAACGCACCGAACCCAGACATCCTCCGTCGTGACCTTTTCACAGCATGGCTCCCCAGAGCTCAGGACTCCTTTCCCGCGACTGGCGTTTGATCCCAACTTGTCTTCTTGTTTACGGTCTGGGGGCCCTGTGAGGGCCCCTGGAGGCCGACAGTCGGCAAAACCCCTCCCGTTTTGTTCTTCTCCACAAGTCAGCCACGCGCAGAGGGGGGTAGGGGCAGGGACAGGGCTTCTTAGAAGCAACCCCGCTTCTTCGAGGGCGCAGGCTTTGTCGTTGTCTGTGGACGCAGGGCCGGCGTCTTCCAAGAAACCTTTCCCCCCGACCCCCGCCGAGCCGACCCCCCGTGGTCGTCGTGGTCGCCGCAGCCGCTGCCGTGGTCGTCGTGGTCGCCTCCTTCGTCGTGGTCGCCGTCATCGTCTTCGACGGGGCTGGGGAACGAGGACGGCGACGAGGCGACCACGACGACCACGGCAGCGGCTGCGGCGACCTTCGGTGGTTGGCGGCGACCCCACCGTGCGCGCCGCCAACCACCGAGGGGACAGCAGGCAAGGTCAAGGGCAGGCCGGTCGGGCGGCCGCGGGGGGGGGCACGCTGGCAAGGGGCGCCGCCGCCCCGCGCCGCCCGGGCCCGAGGGCTGGCCGCCCACGGGGGGCCCACGCCGCCCCCTCTTCGGCCACGCGCAGGGGGGGGCGGAGGGAAGCTGCCTCCTCCTCCTCCTCCTCCTCCTCCTCCTCCTCCTCCTCCCTCCTCCTCCTCCTCCCCCCCCCTCCTCCTCCTCCAATTTCTTCTCCTCCTCCTCCTCCTCCTCCTCCTCCTCCTCCTCCTCCTCCTCCTCCTCCTCCTCCCCTTCTCAGAAGGAGGCTGCCTCTCAGGACGCGCGGGCCTCCTTTGTGGATGCAGGGCCGGCGCCTTCTGAGAAGCAGCCTCCCTCTCGGACGCCTTCCCCCCTCCCCCACACCCCCCTGGAAGCGCGCCGCCAATCACCGCTTCCTCGGGCGGTGCCGAGGGGGTCGCCACAAGCCAGACGCCGAGCCTCCCTCGAGGCTCAAGGTTTTGGTTTATGTGCGTGTATGTAGTGTGTGTGTGTGTGGTTTGGAGTTTCCTAGTCCTTCGAAACTTTGGTCAGGGAGCACCCCCGGATGGGTCTAGTGATCGACTGTTTAGACCCTGGACCCAGGCTATCTCGCGTCGTCAAAAGCGAAGGGAGGTTTTTAGTAGTTTCCACTCTTTTGGGGCCCCTGCCAGTTCCTCGGACCGTCGGACGACGATTCGGCATGAATCACCGACCTCCAAGGACGTGGTCGAGACCTTTGGAAGGTCCACGTTGTGAAAAAAACAGGGCGTCGGGGGTCTGGGCAGGTGGGTGGCCACCCGCTCCTGAATATCGAGGGGTCGAGGAGGAGGGAGGGTTGAGGGTCGGGCAGGCATTTGGGAATGTTGTTCGGGCGGGTTGACGGGGTGGTTCTGGGAGGTCTCCCTCCTCTTGGGATGCAATTCCTTGGAGGTAAAATTCAGCATCGGCGCTGGTGTTATCTATGGTCGAAGACCAGCCTAATCGGGCATGATCCCGCTCACTCCCGCTGACTCTCGCTTAATCCGCCCTGCTCCTGGGTTGAATCTGGGCTAATCCACCGTAGTGGCCCCTGATCGGATTTAGTAGCCCCTGATCGTTCCTACGAAGTTCTCCCAGACGTTGCTTCCCGACTCCGATGGTGATCCCCTGCCCGAGCCTCCAAGAGCTGGAGTCGGACCGGCTAGGACGAGATCCATTCCACAGCGTTCCACAACGCTCTCAGAGCGTCCCAGAACGCTCTGAGAAGTCCGCGGCGCCAGAGTTATCCTCCAGAGCCGCGAGCCTCA